CTGCCACAATGTAAAGTACATACAAAGATGTTAGGAGAGCGTCCGAAGGAGGGCCAGGAGGACCTTGAGGAGAAGCTGTATGAGGTGCAACTGAGGTCACTTGGTCTGTTCAGCCTGGAGGAGGCTGAGGGGAGACCCCACTGCAGTTACAACTTCCCATGAGGGGAAGAGGAGGGGCAGGCACTGATCTCATCGCTGTGGTGCCCAGTGCCAGGACTGAGGGAATGGCCTGAAGCTGTGTCAGGGACAGTTCAGATTGGGTATCAGGAAAAAGTTTTTCACCCAGAGGGTGGTTGACCACTGGAGCAGATTCCCCAGGGCAGTGGTCACAGCACCAAGCCTGACAGAGTTCAAGAGGAGTTTGAACAATGCTCTTAGGCACATGGTGTGAATCCTTGAGAGTCCCTTGAAGGGCCAGGGGTTGAACTTCCATGATTCTTGTGGGTCCCTTCCAACACCATACCTAAAACCTTTCTATACCTAAAAACAGTAAAAAGGTTGAGGACACCACAGAGACCAAAGTCCCAACACTGTTGCTCATGAGCACAAGATTTGGTCCATTTTAAAAAACAGGAGCAGGCATTATCATCCAGAGGATCAGCCTCCTTCCTCCAGCACCACAACATCTCAGAACAACCAGCCTTAAGGGGAATTTCCAGACACAGAAGAACTTAATTCAAAATTTGAAAGCACAGAACATTAAAGATCTTTCATCCAAATTTGGTGTTAGAATTTAAACAAATATAAAACCCCAAAGCCCAAAATAACCAAAATAAAACCAGCCCAAAGCCTAAGAAAATAAGTAGGCAGCTCATATTCTGACTGAGAAGAAGTGCAGGAAGTCAAGACCCACACAGCAGAATGATGGATGACCAGAAAATACATTCTGATAAATTTGACCCCATATCACTGTAATGCAGGATAGTTTCCATATCAAAACTGAACTCTTAAGTAGAAAACAGAGGAAAAAAGTAATTGGCTTTTGTGAAAGTGGCCAATTTTAGCAGACAGCAATTGTTTCTGGTATGTAAATCTGTTTCTCTCTCCAGATAACAAGGAAAACAATTACTCACAGAGAGAATGCTTTTAAATATGTATCTTTGTCAGGATAGCTCTCAAGAATAGCTTATTGCATTGAGTCTTGGTGGTGAGAGAAGCTAATTATTTCCATCAGGAATCTGTAGGATAATAAACCAACTTCTCATCTAGCAACAAGCTTTAGAAATTCAATTGAGTATTAAAAATAGAAAGCAATTTATGCTTTATTCAATTGCACACAATAATCTTAAGATAATTCTGACTTTAAGGTTATTTTCGCATAGCTTCTTCTCTTCTGGTTACAGAAGCTGTGCAAAGATACTTGGAGACTGAGTTCCACCAGGGAAAAGCTGGGCAAGTACAGAACAGGTTGGAGCAGAGGCAGACTCCCCTTCAGTTCATCTTGCTGCTTACAGACAGAAAAATGCATAAGCTCCTATTTCAGCTATTATATCTATCTATATCTATATCTATATCTATATCTATATCTATATCTATATCTATATCTATATCTATATCTATATCTATATCTATATCTATATCTATATCTATATCTATCTATATCTATATCTATATCTATATCTATATCTATATCTATCTATATCTATATCTATATCTATATCTATATCTATATCTATATCTATATCTATATCTATCTATATCTATATCTATATCTATATCTATATCTATATCTATATCTATATCTATATCTATCATCTATATCTATATTTATATATATACATACGTATATATACATACATATATATATAATATATATTCAAAGTGTATTTGGGAAAAGGAAAGTCTGCTGGGCACTTAGTTCACCTGCTCTGGGAGACTGTTAAGCTCACAGACAACTGTGAAAGAGTTGCACACAAACTCCAGTGTGCAGCTCTCAAACAATCTTCATGAGGAATAAATTTCATTGCACAACTGCAATGTGCTCTGTGTTTGGACAAATTGAAAGCCTTTTGTTTCACCACTTACTTTAAGGATTCTGGCCACTCTTGATGCAGTGTTATGTGTCCTTAACTTTCACTGCATGATCCCATAATGTTGCCCTGAAACTTAAAACCTTCTGATAATGTTTTCATAGTTTTAGTTACTGTCCCATGAAAGTTCTATAAACATGTAAGTTGTTTATCACATTCCTTCTAAGAAATTTCTTTTGATGGATGTTTCACATGACCAGTGTACTTGGGAAGGTGGTAACTTCATTATCCAATCTCTGGTCATTGTCAAGAATCTATAAATACTGGAGTCAGAGAATAAAGTTGCCTTTTTCCTGTTCTAACACTGAGAGACATTCATGTGAATCATTTCGTGCCCTTTAGTGACAACATAAGGAATTTTTTTTCCCCCTTGCTTTCTTTTTTTAAGTTTTACTAATAGAGAAAGGAAAAAAAGCCACACCCAAAGACTACAGAATGAAACAGACACAGACACAGGCAGGCAGGCAGGCTTTACATCTCAGAAAGCATCACTGAAACATGGTTATTTTGAGTCCCTGCAGCACCCACCACTGTTGCTGCCATTGTGTTGACCAAAGCACAACGTATTTCTTGCCTTGTGGTCTACTACCCCACATCCATAATGCATTTATTTGCAGATCAGGACTTCTGACTGTCACAGCAGCTCAGAGGCAAAGCTGTAAAATAGCTGCTACAGATCAGTGTCCTCAAGTTTCCATGTTGGATTTTCTTGACTATGTAGTTGTTCTTCCTGTAGGAACAATGCATTGAAGAGTCTGAAAACACAGCCACACCGTTTGGTTTTAAGTTAATTCCTTTCCTATAGTTATCCACAGTTCTTCATCACTTAGGAAACGTTTTTTGAGACACTTCACTGCGGGAAAGGAGGGCTCATGCTGCAGCCAGACATTGTTAGATATGGGCAAATGTAGCATAAGGAACAGCTTGCTCTATACCAGAAAAAAACCTTGTGTTGTTAAGCTCCTAATCTTAGGTTCTCAGTAAAAGAGAATCCCTCATGGGTATCGTGGAAGAACAAATCTATGAAAGCACTAGAAAAGTTTGTGTGGTGGATTTCGGTTTTCAGTTTTTCTTGTTGTTTATTTGTTTTGTTTTAAAAGGCACAAAAGGTGTTCCATTACAATTTGTTTTAAACAGTATTTCACTAGATAGTTGGCTGATGAAAAAGCATTGCACCAGCTGCAAATGCTTTTTCTTTCCTTCCAATTTCTTGTGCTGTTAAGAGCAAGTGGTGGTGGAGTGAAGAACATATGAAGAACCTGGAGACACCTTAAGACATTTTAAGACACCTTCTGCCAGTGGATTCAGTCCAAGGAGAGAAGAGGTTTTAAGGGGCAACTAGTTTTTACTCACCTTTCTGTTAAGATTTTCTGCTGATCTGTATGCCCCATTACAAGGCATTTAACAAAAATAAGGCTTGAGTAATTTCACAAAACTTATTCTAATTACTCTAGAAACTATCCCTTAACACCAGGAGGTTATTAAAGAAATGCTTGATTTCAGATTCTGTCATATTGCTGAATCCCAGCTTCAATACAGTTACACATTTAAAATGCAATATAAATAAACATTGAGGATTCAAAAATCCCACAGCATCCACTTAGCTCATTTAGCCCACTCTTCATACTTATCCATCAGCAATTAAAGACCAGATACCATGATGACTAAAAGAGGGTTCACAGGTTTTATAAGCAACTGCATTTTCTTTCAGTACTTCTGTGTTTTATCATATATTTTCATTTCAAATGAGGGAAATTTGAGACCAAATGTGTTTCAAGTCCATTCCACTGTACTGGAGCATTTTGTTCTGCTCCTTATCAGTATCAAAGTAGTATCTCAGTTCCTGTCTATCAATTAAATAATTGCAAAAGTCCAGAATTTGCTGTACATCCTTTGGATTGCAGCCAACACCAGATCCATTTGTTTCTGACGAGCCAAGCACATTTAGATCTGGAATAAAAATATTCTGTGATGAAAAGGGGAGCAACATTTTCTCGCATTGCTTAGTCTGATTTCTTTTTTGTACTGTGGACAGAAATAAATCTTTGGAGCAGGAGGAGAATAAATTAGGATGCAAAGAACAGCTCTCAAAGTAACTAGAAAGCAAGTAACACTCCAGATGCAAATGGGGATGCCAGATGCACAAAACTAGAGGCAGAGTGATATCACACAAGACAAAGTTTAGTAGAGGATGTTTCAGCATAGCTGGAAAGATTAAGTGGAAAGAAGGAGAGAAATTCTTTACTAAAAACTATCCCCTGATAATGCCTCCAATCATGCATATAAACATGCTTTTAATTTGTAACACTATAGGATTTCAAATGTTTCATGAGTTGTGAAATTTACAAGAGCTATCATGCTTTAGGCTGAATCTGTTTTGTTTTTGCTAGATTACTGAGCCAAACACAATGAGTTTCAACTCAATGCAGCAGTCATGTGCTAACATTTTCCCTGGTTAATGTCTTCTTATGTATGGATGGACACTCAGTAGGAAGTGATTAAACAAACCAATTATTTATATGCTATGTTTGGCTGCTTCTCCTCACCCTTCAGGAGATACACCAAGTCTGATGCAACATCTCCCTTGTGAAACATCTCAGTCATTTCTGCATGCTCACTTCTCCCATGTGGCTCAGCCAAAGGAGAGTGAATGCCACCAAACTGCTGTCTTCATGTATGGGCTTGACAACTGATGTCTCAAAACCATTTAAGACTTCAAGAAGTGGTGTCACTTTATATCACTATTAAATCCTGTATGTTTGGATTTTACTCAACAGAAGCTTTGCAACAGGAAATTGCACCATGTATTGGTATTTATATGCCTGAATATAAATCATTAAAGTTGGAAAAGACCCCTAAGATCACCAAGTCCAACTGCCAACGCATCATCACCACCATGATCACAATTAAACCATGCCTCAAGTGCCAAATCCACACTTCTTTTGAACACTTCCAGGAATGGTGACTCACCACTTCCATGGGCTGCCTGTTCCATGCTTGAAAATCCTTTCTGTGAAAAAAAAAAAAATCCTAATATCTAAAGTTTCTATCAACAGAGTTTCAGAAATATCATTTCAGTTTATACAAAAAGTGAAGACAAAAAAACCTAAAAATTGCTAGTGAAAAATACATAAAAACTCCTTTCTGTGTATTTTGTCACACACTGGAACATGAAACATACAAGAAGAGGAATTCCTGCTAAGTCCAGTTTTACAGCTGAGGCTTTAGACTAATGACTATCATCAGGCAACTGATATGACCTTCAACACTTATACATGATGCTGCTAAAGCAAACTATTCTTGCTTAGGCAGTCAGAGGAGAAGCCTGCCTGGAAACCCAAACAATTCTAGAAATAAATGCTGGTAAAGCAATATTCTTAACAGATTGGCATAAATATAGTAACACATCACTCTTCCAGAGAGCAAGCTGGGGACCATAAAATTGCAGACCAGCATCCCTGCCAGAAAGATCAGGGAATTGCTCCCATGTTGTGCTGTTGGTAACTCTCACTCCCTGGCCTATTTTAAATCATATCTGATTATTCTAACATTAGTGTTACTACTGAAGCCACAGAGATTTAATTTAGTGGCAGCAGGGAGGAAAAAAACCTCAAAAACTAAAAACGTTAAGACAACATAAGGCCAGATTCTGATTGGAGCTATACTGAACACATGCATTAACCCCAGTGACTTCGGAGTAATTACACAAGGTTGCTAAAATTAGCATCTTGCCCATAGCACTGAGCAAATTAGAAATGCATAGACACAGATGAAAAGAGAGACAGCAAATGAGAGCAGCAAGACACTTCCCCCATGAAGTCTTTGCTGTGCTGCTGACAAGAAAAAGGAAATTGGGAGAAAAACCCATTCCATCCCAACTTCTCCCCGGGAGCCCGAGCAGGAGGGTGCTGGAGTGGAAGGTACTTTACAAGAGAGGGAGGCGTAGTGGAGAGCTCAGGAAGCCTTTCAAAAGGAAAGACAGGGAGTTTGCCTGCCAGGCAGGTTTTTGCAAGATCTCATCATTCTATTTATAACACCACATGCCATGTTACATTACATCACACCACGGCAGATGCACACCACATGCAACAAAACGCATTAGAAACACTGTGGGTTCTCTCCAGAATAAATGCCCACAGCTCGCAGTAGCAGCTTAAAGGCAAGTTTTCCAGGAAGGATTTGAAATTCCTTGGCAAGAATTTGTAACCTACGGAGTTAACTTTCATATTCTGCCAGCTCAGCACTTGAGAACTCAGAGCATCTATCAACACCACCCTGCTTTACATGCTCGTGATTTTAATTTGTTCAGGGTTTATTCTTGTCTTTTTCTCCAAGAAAAAACTGCAGTGCAGTTTTTCTTACATTTAATTGAGTTTTATTCCTCCATCAGAAGCTCATCCAGGCATCCCGTTTCATGCCATTAAAGCAAACAGTCACTGGTAACACTGCAGCAAATCTGGGATGTCCCAGATGCTCTGGGGCAATCCACAGGCTTCACTGCACTCAGGATGGTGACTGGACATAACTCTGGACAGCCTTATCTAGTCAGACCTCTTTTGAAGAGAGGGTTGTATTGGAGTGGATGACCTCTTCCAGACTGAATTAAAGTTTTATGATTCTCAATGTCTTTCCTAGCGGTGTAGGTAGTATTAGCCACTAATTTAATAACCACATGTATCACCTAAATTATTTACAGTATTTGCTTTGATTTGATTTATTGGGTTCAGAGTTCTCTTAAAGTAGAACATGCAACACCAGCTGATTGACTTGAACAAGTGCTTGTTCTTCACAGGAACACATCAATAAAAATGAGTCCAAAGTTCATTTCAGCTTCTGAAACCTGCAAATATCAATTGCAAAACAGCAAGGTGAGGAATTTAATGAAGGCAGGGAACAATTGCAAAAAATGGATGCCATTGGTATAGAAGTGAGATGAGATCAGAATCAAAAACAGGAGGAGGGAGGTGCCATCTCCTTCTAGGGTCTAGCCAGATATAGACAGCTTTGCACTGGTGCCAGTTCTTTGCCTTAGACAAAATGGAAGATAAACATGCAGTTAAAAAAAATATCTCTTTGGAATCCCTAGGAGATTATGCATGAAAATCCTTATTAAATGCATATTACCATGTTTTGAGAAAAGGACTATATGAACAGACAATTAATTGAAGATTGCATCACAGCAAATGAGCACAGCAGCACTGAAGAAAGATTGCAAAGGACACTCTCGGTTGTTATTCCCCACATTCTGTAAACAAGATGTTGTAAATGTGTTGGTGTTTGTTTACTACAGCATTTTTTTATAGAAATATTACTTTCTGTAGCACGCTCATCCCTAAGCAGGGTCTCCATTTCACTTAAGAGATGAAAAACATGGAAGTAGTAGTTTTGGCATGAATTTAGCAAGTGACATAAGGTTGCTAATAGTGTAACATTGTCCTGGGTCAGGACCAATTTGGAAGGGAACTTCCAAAGGGATGATTCCCTAAAGGGCAAAATTCATCAGGCCTTCCCCCTGCCTATTTGGGAGAAAAATCTTCTTTGAGAGAAGTGGAAAATACTGTTTATTTAATAAGCAAAGTCACAAACAAGAAAAAATGAATACAATTAAACAATGAAACCTCTCATTGTTCTGAAGAGATGGCAAATTCAGAAAGTCCTTCAGTGGACTGGAGAGAGGAGAGTCCCTTTCATGGGGGGTGTCCTCAGCTTTCTCTGAGGCTCCCCGGGCTCAGGTCCATGTCCCTGCCACAGCACAGCTTGGGGGGCCCTGGACAATAGTCCTGGTGTTCCCAGACCGAACAGATGAACAGTTCCAAAATACTTCTGGCCTCAGCTAACTAAAAAGCCAACAAAAAGCAAAGGAGAGCTCTGTCCTGCTGTCCATCTGTGCTGCAGAAAACACAATCCAGAGAAGGATGCGGAGGAGCGAGTGCAGTTTCTGAAAACAAACTGTGCGCTTCTTCTTCCCTCCCTTTGCTCTCTGAACCACACTAAAAGGTGCAGAATATAATCTCCATCACAAAAAGAACAGGTGACTGGGAATACAAGCATCATAAAGGACAAACGTGAAGAAAATCTTAATGAAAATTAAGTAAAAGCAAGCAAAAGTTACGCAAGGGAAAACAAACAATCAGGTTTTAGAGATGCTTTGGAAAAAGCAGCCAGCATGATTTCATTCTGGTATTTTCAGAACATATTGTATTATCTGTATTTGCTCTGGTGAGTCAGGTAGCCAACCACCAGCCTCAGTTTTCAGTGTCTATTTAGTGTCTGAGATAAGCAGTGTTTAGTGTGCAGTGTTTGTTGATTCTAAGCATAAAAGGATCTCATCCCTCCACTCCAGTTAATAGGATTATATATGCCAGGCAATTTGTGGTGTGTCAAATGCCACACTGAAATCTTTACTGAAGTAATTGTTTAGTCTCCAGATTTTGAGTCACAATCATAGTTTTTGCCCAGAGCTTGTCTTATGGAAAAAATAAGTAATATCTTAGGCTACCAGCAGAGCAAGTGAAATAGGTTTTTAATCAGTTTTAAATTTAAACCATCTAAAGCTATAACTGCTTACATTTCATCTTGCCCAAAGTGTATCCAAAGAAAATAAGTGGTGTCCCATGACAAGAGACAGGATCATGACAGCTTTTGTGAGGAACTGCCCTGGCTCAGTGCCAATTTCCTGGACCTTTCCATCATACCAGGCCTAATACTACAAGTTCACTGGAGTGGAAGAGCCTCAAGGAAGCAATGATTCATTTCTGGGAAAGCATTAGACAAAAGTGGAAATTCAGAAAAGGGTACTGGGTCAAGATTGATGCTTTCCCTTTCTCCAGTTCTCTACACCTTACAAGTGTTTTGGAAGAAGACATGGGGTGTTCTGGACTAAAGTCTGGTGTTTGAATCTTACTGTGTCTCCCCTGTTGTTTGTGCAATAAATGTTACAGCAATTTGCTGCCATTTAAAGAGGGTATTCGGGATCCTAAATTATTACCTGTGTTTGCATTCACATCACTACTTAAACTTGACAAAGACTCTTCCAAAACAATAAAACTATAATCTTCAAGCAGGGATGAATGAGACTGTGTATGTGCCTGCTGCATTTTCAGAGCCCCACTCTTGCTCCACTGATGGGTGGGTGAATGAAGATGCCTCCTGCCTCTCCCAATACCAATTTCACCCAAAGCACACACTTCACCTTGCAAGTGTGGGCCAGTGACAGAGTGGTCCCCAACAAGACTTCTCATCCCTCTTGCTTTCTGTGCACTTCTCTCTGAAACAGGGTCCTGCAGACAGAGCATCCCTGATCTGCTTCCTGCAGGCTGACCAGCTGTCACACTAACTCACTGCTGAAATTTTTAACCAGCTAGAGAGACCATGAGCAACACTGGAGCACTACTTCTTGGCTCACAAAGCTGGGTTTCCTGAAGGACAGTGAAATTCACCTGTAAATGCTTGGGGGGCTCTTGGTTTCAGTTTTCAAGGGAAAGGGAAGTGTCCAGCAAAACACAATACTGTTCTCTACAGGCTATATTTTTTCTTAGTTTAAAAAATTAAGTAGGATTGCTTCTCTTTAATCTCATCACCATCAACAAAAACTTGCTTGCAGCAAAATTCCCTACAAATTGACATGTGTTTCTCTATTTACATTCTTCTTATTCAGCCACATGTAGTTCTTCCACCAAGACTTGTCTGGAGGTAAATCAGAAGTTTGTTTGCTTCTAAAACACTGGCTGAAGCCTCTATCCAGAACCCCACTTCAAAAGACAATTGACTTGCCAATCACTATTTTTTAAGAAGTACCACTAGCAGTGTAAATAAACAGAATGACATACAATATTTCCTTCTCAAACTATAATATTAATTTCACAACTCTTTCATGTCAATAGTTAAGTGATCCACCAACTTAATTATTCTTTTTCATAACCCCTCTTAAAATAACACTGTACTCATAGTTTTAGGTTGCTGAGTCTTGCAGGGTGGAGATGCTTGAAGTGGATGGCCACCAGTCTGGTG